TATCAATGAATTATATATTAGTTAAGATAATTTTATTTTATTGTCACATGCTTATGTAACCATAAGTAATTAACACATAGAAAGGTATTTCTTAGGAGGTTTCTTGGGTTACTATACTTCAACATCGGCAATTATCCATTAAGTACTTAACTCACTCATTGGCATTTCCCTTTTTTTACTGAAAATAGAGCCAAAAGTGTATTTATACACGTACTTTTTTCTTCTTGCATATGTTCATTAATTTGAGAGCGGTGTTTTTTTCCTTTTCGGATACTTTCATTGTAGATCAAACACAAAAGTTTGATGAATGCAAGACTTCATTTTAAATTACTTACGTTGCATTAATATTTAAGTTTGAAAATTAAAAATAAGCCACGTGAATGGTAGCCGAAAACCTGCTATGGAAGAAAGGCATGATGGATTGAAGACCTTGAGTGAGACAATAGAGAATAACCTTCGGTGATAAGTCTTGTACTTCTGTGATTATTTAGCAAGCTTAGCCGCCGTTGAGGAATTGGAAACACCTGTTCAGGAGTTATCTACGTTAATAAATATTGGAATTCGTTCGCATTCCATTTGAAAAGCAATGTAGCAATTCGTTGTTTGACCAGACGATTTGTCGGAAGTGAATGAAACTACATGTAATAAATACAGTGCGCCAGGAAGGTCCTCTCGGACACTGGGCCGAATAAGGCTTCGTATTACAAAATTACATTTGTTGATAGCAACCAGATCACTGAAACCGGATAAGGGTCAACATTTCCCAGCATCTATGAAGGCTGAATACTTTTTTTTACTAGGAGGACGAACATCTTTAAGGAAAGTACAACGTAAATAATAGTATTAATTCAAAAACAAGATACATTAATTAGTCTTGCATCTCCTTTTATTTTTTAATTAAACGATATTTTTTCGGCTGACTTGATATTTTGCTGAAGTCAGTAACGGTGGCACTTCGAAGTTGTTTAAACTGGGCGCACCTCCGGCGGATTACTGCGCAAGATTGAATTCTGGGAGGCTTTCGAGTTCGACTCGAGGAGGCTTTCGAGGATAGACTCGAATTTTTATAGTGAACGCGAGGGCCTAAGGCCCGTGCTCGGCCGTGACTTTGGATCAGGCGAGCGAAAACGAAAACTTCGTTGACAGTAAATTGGAATGCAATGCGTCGGGGCCAAGCATACGAGGGCGAGCCATGAAATTAGCTATCCGTAAGCTTTATTACTTTCTATCAGCGCGTAGCGTAATTTGAGGAGGGCTTAAAGGAGACCCATCTTCGCGCCACCACACTCGATGTGTACCGTGTACCCTACTTTAACAAAGATTTTTTGTCAATTTGTAATTTTTCTACGATATAATTGGAAATCTTCGGTGTAG